TCTCTCATATATATATATATATATGCGTATGTATGTATGTATGTATGTATGTATGTGTGTATGTATGTATGTATGTATGTATGTATGTATGTATGTATGTATGTGTGTGTGTATATGTATGTAAGCATGTATGTAGGTATGTTTGTTTGCATGTACATGTATATACACACAGCAGCCAATATAATATACATACATACATACATACATATATATATATATACACACCTGACACATACATATATACCTATATACCTATATACATAATACGGCGGGGACAACGGTCAGAGTTCGGAGTCTCTCCCAAACCGCAGCGGGCCTCTTCCCGTAGCGTTCTTTAGCCATCTTTCGGTAGACCACCCTCTCCGATGGAAAGTGACTCAGCCTCGAGCATTGGTTCAGTGAGGTGGCGAATGAAGGCGTGCACGTAAGTTCTACTTCAGTGTTGAGAATAGAGATGTATAGAGCCTAGAGACCTATGGGACTGGGCGGCTTTTGGCGGGGATAGCGGAGCAGCTGATGGAAGCCCCCGATGAAGCAGCAACCAAGGGCTTGCAGTTTAGACTTTCATGGGACAGGGGTAAACCATCTTGACCGGTCCACGCTTTCTCAGGCGAGGCTCAACTGATTGAAGATGCGCTGGTGGATCATACGCACGTCGCAAATGGCCTTGGGCCAAGTGCAGCTGAAACTCTTCGAATTGAGTGCTCCTGGTCTGCCTCAAAACGATCCTTTTACACCCTGGCCACACTCTTCAACTCTCGATCTTTTCCACGTTAGGTCCTAAACAATGATCCAGCCAACGCCCGCGGCCTTTGCGATGATCGTGGCCGTCCGCCTCACATGGCCCAAGAATTGAGAAAAAGTTCGATCTCTCAGTACAATCATAACTGATAAACAGGAAATAAATGCAGCAACAAACCATACAGAGATGTGTATGTGGCTGTACGATCCGCATACTTCCAAACCTGCTACCAGTATTGCTGCCGAACCCTTTGCCCCCTCACTGCCTGGCAGGCGCCCCCAACAGCAGGGGACTCTCGCCGAAGATGGACGGGGCCCGCATTCGGATGGGCGGGTGGCCCTGGACAGATCTCAAGCTGTTACGCGTCAAATCGAGCTGCAATTCACATTGCAGGTCTTCCCTTTCTGTTGCTGCCCCAGGACATCCAGACGCCCTGTAAAAGTCGGCCATGCTTTGGAAGCCTCGGGCATGGACTCCGTGACCACTTCCACCTGCAAAGACGCACTCAGCTCTCGGATATTCAGAAGCACAGTAAGCTCGACAACGAGGGCGGCAGCCGCACCCCCCCCCCCCGTTTTTTCCTTGCGGTGAGATCAAGTCAGGTCCCTGAGACCCGAAGAGCAGGATTGCTGGACCTACCCTCGTCAGCACAGCCTGCCCTTCCTGAAACCATGCTGCGACGTGCGTCGCAACAGAGGATCTCCTCAAATTCTGAAACCTAAGAGAGATTAAGCATCGTTTGAAGTGGCTTCACTTCCTAAAGCTGACCATGTAGTGGCCCGAGCCTCCGACACGAGCATTCACTACTACTGTACCTTCCGCCCCAGGCTCCTTTCAATCAACATCTGGGGGGTACGCCATGCTCTCACTTTCTTATATGCACAGGGCATGACGCACTGCTGCGGCCATTTCCTTGCCCTCCGACACGAAGTCTACAGGGGAACAATTCTCCACCGAGATCTGTACCCGCTCGCGACCCTCAAAGCACTCCTTCCTGCACTTAAGTGTGAGAGACCATCGGCGGAGCATGTTGGAGAAAATCCGCATGTAGGTTTTCTCTGCGTGGATGCTACCCGTCAAGCGCTCGTTCTCCAACACGGCAAACTCAGAGGCAGGAACGTCCGCAAGCGCCTCTGCCGGCTCACCGAAGGCCCGGCAGCGGACTGAAGAAGTCGCATCTGACAAGGTGAGGTTCAGATTGAAGCGGGCAGCCTTGCAAACACATCCGAAAATCCCAGGGAGGTAAATTCATCTGAACTCAGAACTTTCTATGGTTACGATCCTATGGACACAATGTCGGCGGCAAGTCACTGCATGACGGAGTGTTACAAGGATTTAACAAGATCCTCAGTGACTGGATGGACTCACGCGGAAATGCTGAGGCGCAAACCGGCTCAGGACAGATGTGGCCGCCGGCGCACTGGCCATTCTCAACCTTCTTGTTGCACATGCGAGGCTTCGATTCCATCCCTATCACTTCCTGCGTGCAGCCCCAATAGAAAGGAGCACGTTCATTTCGAACTGCTGTGACGGTCACGGGCGAGACCCGGTGGTAGTGGACTGTGTGGGCCTTCTCGCTTCCATCGCTCTGCAAGCGTAGCAGTCCGTCTTCCTGCTGCATCTCCGCAAGGCTTCTCTTGCGGCCTCTGGTCGAGGACTGGCCTGTCGTCAGCGTGAATCGCACTGGCTCATTCTTGCCGCCGCCTTGGTACCACGCCTGGAGCTGGGAACACGACCCAACAAAATGAAAAACAAGCAAAACTCTCCTTCCAAAAAAAGAGGCAGAAAAGCTCCAAGCGGCCTTGAGCTGAAAGGCGCGCTTGTCATCTGGGTTGGCCTCCAGGAAACTTCCTGCGTTGAGGTCCAGGCTGCGGCCAGAGAAGTCACTGACTTTAGCATTCCGGATGAAGATCACCGAGCCCACCTCGAATTGAATGTCAGCCTTCTCTCCCCAAAGGCTTACGCTCACAGAAGCCTGGGAGCTATCAAGGATCAGCAATTGTCGCCTCTGGCGCGGCCCTTGGTTTCGAGTCGCGATGCTGACCGGCTCCTCCACGGAGTGCACCACACCCATGACATCGCAAGAGCTGCCCGCCGGAGACGTTCCCAAGCTTGCAAGTGGCACAAACTTGTATGGCATCGGTGGTATGGAACCGTCTTCTGGCAAAGCCACGACTGACGTCCCACGGTCCTCGATCGTGAGCTCGAAGGGGTACCGGCACCACCGTGGATTTCCAGGCTTGACTGATGCACCATTGATGTCATAGGTCTTCTTGATCTGCAACATGCCGAAGTACTTGTCTGCAGCTGCATTGAAACAGGCTGCACGGACACACTCGCCCGCTGCATCCATGAGATCCACAGAGAATAGCTTGCCTGGCCCTCTCGCATTATTGAACGTCTTCATCTCCGATTTACTCAGCACGCGAACCATCACTCTGCAACGCTGCATGAAGGAACTGAGCTGTGCAATCGGCACGACTGGTAAGGATGCAGAGGCAGGCATCATGGCGGCCACTGCGTGCGGGGATGCCAGAGACTTGGTGTCCAGATGGAAGGCTTGGCCCTGGCTTCGCATGGGGCTGGCAACAGGTCTCGGTGTCTCGCACGGCTGGCACTTGCCGGCCGGTGCCGGAGCCTCAAGGGCACTGGTTTGTGGGGCGCTGGTTTGCGGAACTTCCAGCGGGACTGCCACCGGCTGCCCTAAGATTCCCAAGCTCTCGCTCGAGGTCTGATCCCAGTCCTCCACAAAGACTGCCTGCAGGCCCTCATGCATCCCGCAGGACCACTCCAGCAGCTCAATCACGCTCCCCTCTTGTGGATCCTTGATGTCTTCGGCCAACAGCGCAAGGATGTGGTGGCAGCCGTCCGAGATGCGCAGAGCGGTGCGCCGATCCTTGCTTCCCTCGCGGGCTGGCTTCCGACAGAGCACCTGAACCCGGATGCCACCTGCGGCGCCTGCTTCTTCTGGCCGGAGCGCAGCAGCAGCTAGATGTCGCACAGAGCCCACACTGAGCTCCGGGCTTTTTGCCGCGGTCCCTTCTTGTGCCATGCTAGCCACAGAGCAGCTTCTCAGTGCACAACTAGCGTGAGCCAGAAATTGCTGCAAGAGAGACGGCTCCCTCATGCACTTGAGCAACCCCCGGTGCCTAACTACTCCGAAGCCCTTGCAGTTGCCTCTCGACGCCTAACATCTAACAGGACGTGACTCGACTCGGCTCGACTGCAGCTTGCCTCGCCGTGCACCAAGATATACGTCATCTCGCCGTACTCGCTCTCTCGCAAAATGGTTTGACCAGGATGAAAGATGCGAATGTCCAGCCTCGATGCTGGCCGAGCTGCCGTGAGCCTCTCCTCTCGCCCGCGCTTTCTCCCTGCATCCGGGTGGCTCCATCGAAAGAAGCGACAGGAAATCTCGGTGCGAGTTGGAGAAGAAGGGAAATGTCTGCCTGCGTAAGGCTGTTCTTGAGGCGAGTCTCCGCGCACAGGTATCACACAAATGACCTAGAATCCCCACGCACGACAGAAGCCCAGAATCAAGCTGGGAAAGCAATGGAAAAGCAGGGGCTTTGCATGTCCGGGTAGTGCAGTTGCCCGGTGAGTTCGTCCAAGCCACAGCCGAAAGCTGAGATCGCGAACATCGATCGGGCTGCGGAGCCTTCGCTTCAACAGCAGATTGGAAAGAGAGATTCCCCCCAAAAGGAAGCGAGCCTTTACATGCACTCCGGCCCAAAACAACCGACAACACGCAACACACCCCGCAGACACTCCCGACTCGCAACCCCCAACCCCAACAGGGACAGGGAACATCATGGTCTTCGTCCGTGAGCTCACAAATCGCCTCTTCGGCCGCGACTCCTCCGAGATCGTGCTTCTTCATATATATATATATATATCATTCGGCGGGGGCCTGTCAGTCTTGGTTGATGCCAGGTGTGCTGGAGCCTCTAGGCCTTCCTACAGCCCGCTCCTCTGAATCCTGCGTCCTTCCTGCAACGAGCCGCTTGAGCTGCTCCTGCTCTGCCTTGGTGAGCGCCTCGGACCGGAGGGAGCACATCGTAATGAGCGGCCCGAGATCAAGATCCCGATAGCAAGAGGCTCCAAAGGTTGCAGTCTTCCTGCCTAAACAAAAACTGCTGAAGGTCTCGCAATTTCGCACACTTCACAATTCAGAGCTCTACCCCCGAAACATTGAACCTTTGGACTCCGAAAGATGGTCCCCGAAACTCACTCCGAGATGCCATCCCATGTCCTCAGCACCGGAGAGACTGGGTGCTTTCGGCTTCCCCCAAGGTGGTTTGCGTGTCATCATGCCGTTTTGGAGCCGACGGAAGAGCCCGCCTACACCATCCTACACCCGACAGCAGGACAAGAGCACCAAGTAGCCGAACCTGTCCCTGGAAGCCACTGGAACAAGAAAGGGCAAGTCGCAGGGGCGAGCGCTGACTCTTGGAGCGTTCTACGCGCTACGAGGTCCGTTAATATGTCGATGGAGTTTGCGATGAAGGCCCCGATACCCGCTCTCCGGTGCAACTGGCTACCTCTGGACTTGGACATTTAAATTTCATGCATGGCATGCCAGTAGCACTCACTAGCACTCAGTAGTAGCTGTGTATTTTGCCGCCTTTGTGTTTGAGCCGGTGGAGGCCACGGAGTCGGTTGAGCAAGGGGCCGTCGCCAGTCCCTGTTTATTCCAACACTGCATTACATTTTCAATGCATACATACATACATATGTACATGTGTGTATATATATATATATTAGTATGCCCATGTATCTATCTATCTCTCTCTCACGCATAGTATATTACATTACTTTAAATTAGATGACATTGCATTCCACTACCTTCTACTTATGTTATATCGCGGAATAGTCAGGAAGAGTATGGGATAGTATTTTGCATTACTTCATCTTACTCAAACTACATTACATCACAATGCATACATTGCATGACACCGCAGCATATGGAGTTATATTATGGTAGACGATGCTTGGCAGTCACTCGAGGTCTCTCCGGGCCTGAGCTGCCGCTGCTTCTGCCAGCTGCGTGGATGCCTGGAACCAGACTGAGGAAACTCAACGAAGAAAGACGACAACTGGGTTGTAGATTTAGGGCCCTGCAAAGCATGTATGAATAGGTACCTCTAGAACTCTAGAGAAGCCATAAGGGAAATTTTAAAGTTTCCCAACTTGCCACCTAGACAACGAAGGCAGCAGCAGTGAGACTAGCTGCAGGTACGAGTAGGCAACGTAACTCCGTCACGTGGATCTGCTACCCAACCCTGTGGCCTGGCATCGTGCCCGGAAGAGCGCAACATCTTCAGCGCAAGAAAAATCCCTCCAGTCAGGGTCTAGGACCGGAAAGAACTGTCTGCAAGATCTGCTCACCTAAAACACGGGTTGCGTCCGCTCGAAAGCTTCACATCGCTGAACAGAGAAACAGCTGAACTTCTCGTACCAGTACTACCTCCCAACAGGTCCAACAGCACTTCCGGAGTGGCGCTCGGAGCCGGTAAGGATTTGCACGCTCTTGTCACCTCTTGTTGTTAGCACGAAACTAATTGGCCCTGGCCGGCTTGAGCCGAACCTTGCAGAGCAACAATAGCTCAGAGGCGTAGCACTCGAGCAATCTGCAATGGCAAACCGTGGGAGAACTGGGGGCTTCCTAAAATAGGGGAACCCTAATATGGTACCCTAAATAATAGGATCCTTATTATAAGGACCCCAAAATAAGGTACCCCTAATTTTCGGAAACTCCCAATTATCTCGAGGCGTCACCTGACTGCTGACACCAGGTGCGCTGCAGCCCGCTTTAGAATGAGACAAAGCCTCTTTTTCACCGCCTTTGCTCGGAGCGGCCCGGCTGCGCGATTCGCAGTCAGGCCTCCCAGGCGCCTAAAGATGCTAAACCGCATCAGTAGAGGGTGGAGAGGACTTTGCGTGCTTGCCAACCTCAGGCAGAAGCTCACCGTGATTTCGCTGAACCAATGCAGGGCAGCAGCTTTGCAAGTCTGCCGAGGCACCATTGCCCTGGGTCATCATGTAGAAATACTCCAGGTCCTGCAGGATTTACGGGACCATAAGGTTGAAAGAAGCACGCCAGCACACAACCACAGGCCTTCGCGGGGAAGCAGTGCAAGACCCCCATGATGCGAAGATACCTCCAGCCACAGGATCAGCCTTTCTGCCACCTCTGCACAGGAAAGCAATCCTACCGAGGTGCATAACATAGTTTGCGAACTCCTGCTGCGTGAAGTTTCGTACTGTCCTGCCGAAAATGTCTCAGTCTCTGGGATACGCTCTCCGCATTTGTGCCACAGCTCAGCGCATCCTGATCTCGAAGTCTCGCACTCCCAGCAGCTCAGGGCGGTATTGTCGACCTGCCGTCTGACGCCCGGCAGCACGACCAGAGGCAAGGAGTCAAGGTCAAGCAAGGGGCTTCCCCTTGGCAACTGGGACGCTCTCGGGCCAGGACGCTTCTGGCGCATCCACGAGGTGGCGCAGATCTTCACCCCACGCCTCAGATCCCGCATGCCAGGATCCCAAAAATCTCGTGCGGAGCAGTGCCAGGCGCCACACCGAAACTTGTGACCGTCCCAGCCTTGGGATCGTGAGTCGAGGTTCGCAGGGCTTGTCCTTTGCCGCTCCCAAGGTCCGGGCGATGGAAAGCTCTGGGCATCGACAGATGGTAGGAAGGTATGTATCCGTTGAACCTCGGTCCGTGCCGCACGAGCCCGCCAACTGGGTCGGCTGGAAGCTGGCGTGACGCCAACGAATGCTTGCTACGCTGAAGGACCTGATGAAAAAAAGGTATTGCCGAACTTATACAGTGCCATCACACATTCTTCTCGTTCTTGTTATGTTGCTGTCGCTGCGTATCGAAAGACTTGTAATACTGTAATCAGCAGATCAGCAGAGTCCCGAGGATGGCTAGCGAGTGCCCGGCCGAGTGTTGTCGTATCGGATTGACACGTACTCCGAACCTGCATCCCAAACGAGACTTGAAGCCGAGCTATTCTTGCAAGGCCTCCTCCCCTCAGCCCCTGACATGGGAAGCACTCGTTCCAGTCATCCACGATGACAGCAACGGGATGCCTGAGCCGGAGCCGGACGTCAAGAAGTCACAGCGAGAGGTTCAAAGCCATGCAAACGACTCGGCTGCAGGCGTCGTCTGGCGCTGTAGCTGCACGAAGGTTTCTGCAACAGCCTGGCCGGCGGCTGATATTGGGACGACACCGCAACAGCTCTTGATGCTGTGGAGTACATGCAAGAGAGGCCTGGACGGCATATTGCTCATTATCCAAGCCGAAGTCCACGATTTCCCATACGTTCTGCGGCTTCAGCACATCAGCCATCCTCATAATCCGCAATCCGAAGAAAACACAAGCAGAGGTGGGCAGCGGCAAAAAGTGATGTTATCAGGGCTTGAACCCTGACGGAAACACGCTGGGACCAAGACGATGGGATGCGAACTTGCCGCCGGTACCTGCCGTGCTCTGACAGTTTGCTTGACGACGGGCCAAGATCGTTCGGCGGGAGTCTTCAAGCTTTGACACCTCACGGCCGGCAGTGTGCACATGAAACCTTGAAAGCTCCTGGGGCTTGGACAGCAAACCGCATCTGACACTGTTCTCAATAGTTCGGGTGGATAAAACTTCGTGTGTTCAACTGGTCAGAGAAAGCGCGGGTCCAGCAAAACCCGAGTGGTCGAGATGCGTTGGCCGGGCATAAATTGGAAAACTTATTCTCTCTCGCTTGCACCGAAGTCCGTGCTGGGATTACTCATTGCACTGCAGCTGGCATATGTGGGATGCTCCGCGCAGAATGTCATCCTGCTACAATCTCTTGTGCCAACAAAATTCATGTTGATCCGTTTGGATGTTCCTATACACTGTCTAGGAAGTCTAGATGAGGCACACGACTTAGACGCTCTAGTGATTTGCGTCACGCAGGACATTTGCATGTCATGCGCAATAGTGTGTACTTTGCAAAACCAAGCTGGGTTTTCCAAAAACACGTCCAAAGGAGAAACACGCAAGATCCTGCATGCATAGCCAGCCCCGTAAGAAGCGAGGCGGAGTGACTCCGCGATGCGCTGCAGGCGCTCAGGTCCGGAGAGGCTCTGCGCATCGACCTTCTGCCGAGTGCAGCGTCCTAGAGTGGTGTCTCCTCCTGGAGAGGTGGAAAAATGTGGATCGGGTGTGGGTGAAAGCTGCAAGACTGTACAATGGCTGGTTCTAGCAATGTTCTGACAGCACCCTCTGCATGTCTGGACGAGCAACGCCCCTGCGGCCCAGTCTATTTGCACCCGAGAAAGACGTTACTGTGCGTTGAAAGCTGGGTCGGGCCTCTCTGTCCACGGTTTTCTCGATCAGGGGCTCGTACAGTCGACGGGTCACCTGTTGCAGTCTCGGGAGGTTTGAGCACGATGCCCTGCTGTTTCGGGGCGACGATGCACAGGCATGCACTGGTCACTGGTCTTTTTGCTTCTGCACACGGCTGGATGGTGTGACAACGCTCTCGGTAGCGCATCACAGCGTCCTCGACCGACTTAGCCTTCCATCAGTGGCTACATCAAGGGAACTTGGACTTGCAGAGCATCTGCAGGAGATTGGGGATTGCTCCATTCCGCCCCTGCCTGCTGGATGCGCCACCAATCCAAGATGAACCTATTGCTTTCAACGGCTGATTGTCCTCTGATCTTGTTCCGTGATCTCATGAGTAGTTCGAAAATGGTTTGCGGCGAGACACTACTTCGTGCATGATGGGTGCACTGCAAGTCTACAGGTACTCCAACCCTCGGCCACTGTAATCCGCGAGTCCCCAAATCCCGAAGCCCGAAATGACCCAAAGCCCAATCCGGAACCTCAACACGCAAACCACCCTAAACTAGGGCCCCAAACAAGCACATAAGCAAAAATGAGGATCCGGATATCCCATATAAATCCCTTATAGTGAAGCCCAATAACCTCCAAACTTAGGCTGCGCCTGGCCGCCGTCCTCGCACGGGGGGCCGCGATGAGCTGCTGGGTCCCGGGCTCCGCCTCAGCGGTGCCCACGGCGCCGACCAGCAGGGACCTCAAGGGCCAGGCGGCTTAGGGTTTAGGGTTTAGGGTTTAGGGTTTAGGGTTTAGGGTTTAGGATTTAGGGTCTTGGGCGAAAGCGTTGAGGAGTTGAAGCTTCTTCATGAAATTTCTGGGGCTTCATGGGTGTGGTGGGCTGCTAGCTTTGAAGGGCTCTTAGAAGGTCACTAAGGCTAAGATACCGGAACTTGACAGAAATCCGACCGCAGGTACTCTTCACAGCCCCAACAAGCGGGCCTCAGGTGGTTTCGTAGAACATCCACGTTCCGGGCATCCCAAACGGAGAAGCACTCGCCGCTTTGGGAGCCATCTAGCTCCAGGCAGTACCTCAGCAAGAGTGTTACCGCCACTGCAACTGCCACAGCAAGCGTTGCAAGCACGCATCTCAGGCAAGCCCAGCTGCGTGAGGTATTCATCAATCAGCTCCAAAGGGGCAGGCTCCACTCCCTTCACCCGTGAGAAAAGCGCCGGGTCGCGAAGCAGCTGTTCGGCCACCATAATGCCCTCCTTACGAACAGCGATCTTGCACCAGCAGCTTCCTTGGAAACTGCATTAAGCAACTGGGAGTCCGACGCAAGAAGTAAACTTCAAGTTGTTCGTCACATCCTGTGAAGATCTTGTATGCACATCTGGGAGATGCGATGCGGCTTGCAAATCTCAACGCCCAGGCCCCACACCCTACGCCAGGCCCTGAACTCGAGTGAAGCAGACAGAGGTCCGCCACTTCTCGCAGGAACAGAACACAAGAGATTGAAATGCTGCCCAGGCCTGTGCACATCTGACGTTGCCTGCCAACGGCACTTCCATCATGGCAGCAGGGCGCATGGTGCTCTAAACCAACAAGCCGTCCAAAACCCGCAACCTAAACCCGCACTTCAATCGTCTTCAGCCATCTTCAGACAGTTGTCCATTGCTCAGAACGGGCAGAGACAGCTTGGCGCGAAGTTCGGCCACAGCACGCAGGTCCTCGGCGGGACATGGACGCCACAAGGACTTAGCACGGCTCGTGAGCTAGTGCAGACTCAGACTCTACTCTGTCAATCTCTCAGCCTCAAGTCCTAGTCCTAAGAAACGCTGAGCTTCGGCAGGTCCGTCACGCCTGGCTTTCTCGGATTCGAGGCGACGTCCTGTCTTCGTCTCTCTTGTACTTTCTCCTTCTGCTCTCGTCCTCTCGTGCTGCTGAAGCATGATCAACACACAGACCTTCTCAGCTTCGGAACTTTCCCTTGACACGTCGGTCCATGCACCGCAAGTAAGGCGCAGCCAGCGCGCTGCAGCCGCGTGGAAAGCTCCAGAGTCTCAGCCTGCCGGCAAGCGAGCGTCGAGGCGCTCCGCAACCAATCGTAACATTATAATAATAATAATAATAATTTTGGAGTCCGGGGGACTGTGGGCGTGCACTGTTTTAGATGTTTGACCATGTGTAAATACATCTTCGCACGAATGCTTAAGCTATGAATCGGCCATTTTTGCGGCAAGTGAGTTGTTGGTTATGATTATGTGTCTGGTTTAGAGCTCCAGGAACTAGAGACACGGCCCTTGAAAACGGATCGGCCGCTAGCAAACAAACATATCTATTGCGGATTTTCCCGACGCTAAGCAAGGGAAACTGGAACGACTTTGTTGCGCCGTCCAGTATATACATGTGTATATATGTATATGTATACACAACTACCTATCACTAGTGTCGTTGTTTTCCGCTTTTTCGATCTTGGATTCTTTATCTATGTGTGTATATATAAAAATATGTATGAAGCTTCTTTATATGCATGTGTATGTATATATATATATATATATATCTCTCTCTCTCTCTCAGTCTCTCTCTCTCTCTCTCTCTCTCTTCTTCCACACAGCCAAGAGAACGGAGTTCCCCCCGTCCCCCGCGCGCGCACGCGCCCTGGATGTCCGGGTATCAAAGGTCGGCAACACGATGAGGCGGAGGCTTGTTCCAGCAAAACCCCATTATCAATAGAACTCTAAACCCCCCGCCTCATCCGCACTGAGGCTGATACAGGTTCTGGTGCTCCCTCTCGCAGCTTGTGCTGCAACCACAACTGTCGTGGTTTAGGACTGTGCTCACAACACACACCACCAAGAGCTACTTGCAACACCCACTACCAAGCACTTCTGCACCGTCCCTGGAAGCAAGACCGTGTGAATACTGCACTGGCTGAAACATGCACAAGCTTTGGCAGTCCTGTGCCGGGGGTTCGAGGAAAAACGTGCAAGCCCTCGCGCAACTTCAGACACAAAAGGGCTAAGGTAACGGACTTCGCGGAAGGACCTGGTCTAATTATAACCTCTCTCCCCCTGAATTCACCAGCATCTTCTGGTAACCCCTGTGGTCGGAGCGTTTTGAAAAGAATCGGGGATTGGTGCCACGGTTAGGGCGAAATGCTACGGTCGCCTACCTTGGGGAGGCCTTTCGGCCCATGGGTAACAACTCAGCTCATGCGGTAGTATTGCCCACTCAGTTGTGCTTCTCCCTACGAAGTTCTGCCCCCTGCTAAGCCTTTGTTCACCTCAGTGCCCTTCGTATCACACCCCTGGTCCATCCAAGGTGGTCGGCATGCACGGCCTTCCTGCCATTTGCACGAACCCTCCCTCATGGCCTTCAGCCTCCCAACGTACTCCTTTGGTGTCGACGTCTCCGTGCGGTAGAGCCGGGGGTTGTGGAAGAGCGGCGTCTGGCCTCCGTCGCCCTCGAACGCGTTCACGATGTACCCCTTGGGCTGCGTGATCTTCCCCAGTTCCGCAATGAGGAAGCATGTGTGCCCCCCTACTGCCGGGCCTCCCCAATTCATGGGGGCCGGGTTCAAGGGGACTTGCTGAAGACGCAGGCAAGGGCATGCACCTCCGAGGGCTTACAACGTAACGAAGGGGCTGCCTCGGACGCGTCCTTAAGCACAATGTTGCGGTGGGAGACTC